ATGTAGAAATACCACCTACATGTATGCAAAATATCGAAAAAACAACATTTACATGTACATGTATGTTGATTGTAGATGACCATTTACATGTATGCAAAATGTAGAAATACCATTTACATATATGTAGAAATAAGATGTATGTTGAATGTATAAACACCATATCCGTGTATGTAGAATGATACAAGTATGTCGACTGCAGAATTATCATCTACAAGTGAGAAGAATATAAAAGTACCATGCACATGTATGTAGAATGAAATATATATATGTACATGTATGTAGAATAGCGACGAAATAGTCACAATTGAAGACGATCGTGTTGAAGGAATTTTCACAATAGGTAGAACGATAAAAATGATTGGAGGTTATTATCCATCCTCAACACTGTCGTTGACATGAAAATAGCCTCTTTAATTTAATCACTAACCAATTCATTTCAGGTGAAAGAATCTTAATTGTTTTGACCTTTCAAGAAATGAAATATCAAGAGACCATTGGGAATCAGAAATTAAACAGCAGGTAGCTTCATTTTGCAAATTTCTGTATTGTAAGAAGGGAATATACACGTAAAGGAACAACGGGCAAATGAAAGTACATCCAATGTCAAGGACCGGGACTTTGTATGGACATATTTTGTCAACTACAGCTGCAGAACCAGATATGTTTTAATTAAAACTACGAACCTGAATATATATTTTTAGATAAAAACCTTGCAAAAATGTCTTTTTTGTGGCAGACAATTTCCTTTTTTTCCAACAATCACAAGTAGAATTATTTTTATTAAGAATTTTCTGGGCCAGCAAAGTTTCACCACAGAATATCAAATGGTTGGCCCCGTATCAGATATTCGTAGTCTAATTCATAGTCCCGTTATCAGTGACAAAAAGGTAATAATTTAATGTCGTCAACATCATAGGCATAACTCTTTCCCAGATTCTACCAACATCAATTATTGATGAAACCAAAAGAGACGATTCAATTCCTTTCACCTCAGTTTTCTCCCTTTCAGTTGAAGCTGAAACAATCTAAAGCATTTGCAGGTTATTGTGATGAAGATGTTTCATCGTAGAGTTGGTATTGTCTTACTTATTTATAAAATTGTGAAAATAGTAAATTGTAACAACTGTTTTCACTGGTATTCTGCATTACAGCATGACAAGTACATGACACAGGTGTTCAGAAAATTGATTAGTGATTCTATATACGCCTGTGCTTCTGAATGTCTGATGTCCTCTCTCTGTCACTCCATCGGCTATGAACCCGAGACACGCACCTGTTTCCTCAACAGTTACAGTAGCGGACGTGGGAGACTTGATCATAGACCAGGATTTATCTTCAGCGACATTGAACACTGGCCAAAGGTAGACAATTTCACACATACGTGTATATATGTTTTACTTTTACATGTGACTGTAAATCTATGCACGGTACTAGATTTAAAAGAGCTTCATACGACTCTGTTCAATAGTTGTTTGATAAGGGTTACAACATTCAAGGCCTCAAGTTTTCAATTTTTTTATGGTAGACATGCATGTGGCGAATTATTTTTAAATTTGACGCGTCAGTGAGATAAAATATGTTTGATGCATTTCCCTAGTTTGACTTGTTCCATATGTTCCAGTGATTTTTATCTGATGAACTACTGACTTTCATTGTTTGATTTAGGGTTGGAGGGGAGAATGTTCCGCGCTGTCATGCGCGAGGACCTCCAGGTGTCATGTAGATCGAATGCGTCGCGCAACATGTGTGCCTGGTAATATATTAATATATTATTAGTATATATTATGTTATACCAATGCCGTTCAATAGTAAGTGTCAATTGTTTGAATGCGAATAGGTTTTAATACCTTAGCTAGAGAGAGAGCGAGAGAGAGAGAGAGAGAGAGAGAGAGCGAGAGAGAGGGGAGAGAGAGAGAGAGAGAGAGAGAGAGAGAGAGAGAGAGAGAGAGAGAGAGAGAGAGAGAGGGGGCTTAACAGCCTACCCCCACCTTTCCATTATATGGTTAAACTTGGTAGCCGAAATATTCAACCATGAATTTCAGCATGAAGTGTAGTTCCGGTGAAATAAATTTTATTGATTATGAATTTTTTAATGGGTTGTTTTCCAAGCTTCAATTATTCTGTTTCAGAGTTCCAAGGATGTCTGTATCCACCGGAAGTAGCAGGCATGCGCAGAACCTATGATGGTCTTTATGAAGGGGCTGTCGCTTCCTACCGGTGCAAGCGAGACTTCAAACTTTGCCGTAATGGCACTCTCAGTTCTTGTCAGCCTCACGGACAATGGGAGGACATAGCTGGTCTGTGTGATCAGTTTAGATGGCATAACGCAGTAAGTACAAGATCATCTGTACTCTGTGAATGAGTGGTAATGGATTTGTGCAGAGGTATAAATAATACAGTTCTTCTTGCTATAGATACCAACGGACGTTATAATGGCCCGTCGTCAAGCAATATGAGGGCACCATCAAGTTACAGTGGTCCGCTCATTTCTGATAGCACCAGGGCGGTTGAATGATAATTCTATCCATCTTAGCTGTAATAAGAATTAAATTGAAGATTCTACCCTTAAGAATCACTGATAGGTTACGGTAAGGACACAAGGTTATCACAACAGTTCATGTTCACAATCGATCGCCGTCTAATGTTCTAGTTTGTAGTCATTAATTGTAGCATCATCCGACGAGTAATTCTGAAAAACCATAAGCATATTTTTTTATTTTGTAAACGATTTTTACCTTGGCTAATAAATATTATAAAATCATCATGGTAATTTATCAGCTATTCATAATTCGTTACCAACACATATCCCAATGTCACTGGGAGTCTTGTATCCATAAGTGCATGTAAAAATAAAAGCGACAAAACATTTTCCATACTCACAAGGTATCTCTACTAAAAGCCTTTTGTACCATTCAACTATATCATGAGCACGTGTTTATGAATCAAAATCAAATAGTGATGATACCAGGTGTTCGCAAAAAGGCGTGGCGGTCGGGTAGCCTCGTGGTTAAAGCGTTAGCTCGTCACGCCGAAGACCCGTACATGGGTACAATGTGTGAAGCCCGTTTCTGGTGTCCCCCGCCGTGATATTGCTGGAATATTGCTAAAAAAAGCGGCGTAAAACCAGTCACCAACACATGTACAGGAAAGTATGACCTGAAAAAAATCCATATGGTACCAGTCAAAATAGGGTTTTTGACCGACATCATTTTTGTCACTGATGCGCCATACTTGTAAATGTCCTCAACCTGCCATAAATGTTGTAACCCTGATCAAACAACGTTTGAGCAAGAATTGTATGGCGTACTTTGAATCTTCGTGGAAAGGGCATGCTCGATTGAACCTCACTATAACACAAAATTCAACAATGACCCAAACAGGTGCGCACAACCGGGCGGGTAATAGCAGGAAAATCTTTAAAGTAGGCCCCGATACAAGAACAACTTAAAGATGAAGCTGAGTGAAACCTGAGGCGACAGAAAAATCGCTAAGATTAGTTTTGTTTGTTTGTTTGTTTGTGTAACGCCGCACTCGGCAATAATCCAAGGTACATGACGGCGGTCTGTAAATAATCGCGTGTGGAGGAGACAATTCAGTGATTGACATTATGAGCATCGATCTAGGCAATTGGGATACGATGACAAGCGTCAACCAAGTCAGCGAGCCTAACCACCCGATCACGTTAGTCGCCTCTCGACAAGAATGGGTTGCTGAAGACCTATTCTAACCGGATCTTCACGGGTGGCTAAGATCACTAAATGGTATTGAACTCAAACTTTCCCCTTCCCTATGCTCCTGACAGAGGTAAGATGGCAAGTCGAAGCTGACTTCTTTATTCTTGTGTTAGCACCATTCACGTGCTCGTGGGTTTCACCAACGTGGTAAAGGTCTGAGACCTGCAATACTTCGGGCTTCCCTCCCACATTAAGCTGACACGCCGTAAAATAACTGCGTTCTGTTCAGAGCGGCGTTAAACCCATCTCACTCCCTCACTCACTTTATTAATTTTGATGCAAGTGGATTTACAGCATGAAGGAAGGTATGTCTCTGATGAAAATGGTTTTGCACCTGTAGACGGTGCCGTTCCGTTACCCCGTACCGTGTGGACCAGCGAGCAGGGTCAAGGTCACCGTCAGGGCAACAGCAACCAAAGCTGTAAGGTAAGTCGAATTCGAAACATTTTTATGAAACTGAAAATTGAAAGAACTGTTGTTAAATTAATTATTTCTAATTCCCCATCACTCATTCCTACAACAGTTTGTAAAAAGTAATCTGTGGCTGGGTAATTTTGTGTAAAGATACATTTGTTCTTCAAATGTCATCCGAAGTGAGACCAATCTTAGATTTTCTAACTGAAGCAATCATCTTATAATGATGGCGATGGTGATTATTATTATTATTATTATTATTATTATTATTATTATTATATATTTATTTTCTGTCTGAGTTATCATTTGTTAAATACATGCTGAACTGTATGACAGAGGGGGGTGATTTCAAATTAACTCGATATGGGAGAGTCGCGGATTTAGACACCATGACTCCATCAGCCCTAGTTTTGTTGGGGGAAGTATTCTTGTTTGCGTACCTGTGACAGGACTGATTTATTTCAGATGGTACGTGATGATGAAGAAAGGCAAAGACGTACTGTACATGGTAGACTTCCGGTTTAAATATGGAGGCGTTGTTAACCGTACAGTCACCAACACGGAAATAGGCGGCCAGTGGGGGGAAGAAGTTAGCTTCCCGTGGCTTCCTGTAACTCTCGGGCAGGAATCTAGGGTCGTGATAACCCTCGTTAGCGGTGTGTATGATGTGAGTATATTTCAATAACAAAAAACAGTCCTGTGAGTGATTGAGTAGGTGTGTAAGTTGGGTTCAACGCCGCTTTGAACAGTGTTTCAGTTATATCACGGCGTGTATCAAATCTCCCAAACCTACCTCAGAATTGTCAGGCATCTGAGTGAATGATAAGCTCAGTAATAAAACAAGAACGGTACCTGACAATATGTCTTCAACGAAAGCTTGCTCCTCTCTCCGAGAAAACAACTGCTCATCACGGCGTTCTTCTTCAGTTGACAGTTGATGGCGTCCCTCTCATCAAGTTCAAGGAGAGAACGGTCGGAGCAGCCCCGGACCACATCTTCATCGAGGGTGACTTGGCTGTGACAGTGATGGAAGTCACAACCTGATGACCTGCTGTCACTCGGGACTTCTCGGCTAAAACCGCTACCTATATTACGTAACACCCAGCCAACGGCGGAGTAGTGATACTGTTTGATTTCACACAATCGCTTCATGCAGTTCGTATAACGTTTTTTTCTAAAACAGGCTAAACTGGGAGGGACAAACGTTTACTCTTTGAACGTTAATTAGCGAAAGACCTGTCGCTAGACTTTACTGTGTCATGGAATAGTCCATTTGTGACAATTGGTGTCATTCAGGGTCAAGCTGAATGGCGAATCGTGCCCCTCTCTTGGAAATTTTATCAAATTGGTTCCATGATCGCGCAATCAGCCATAGCTAAGAAACCAGTCGCCTAGTTGCACCAGATCCGCCTCTGCTTTGTAAGTTGACATGAATATTGTGGTATTAATTTTCATCATCCGTGTATAAGATGTCTATTTTAATTTTGTTACAAAGATTTTCCAAGGTTTCAAAAGCTCCATATCTTTCATTTATGACTTGAATGTCCAATTGGGCAAGGTTATTGTTATGGAAACCCAGAAAGGACATTGTCGGCCTTACAAAAACAAGCAATTAGCCATTGGTCGCATTGTCGCGCTTTGAATAATATATTTTATTTTATCAAAGGGCGACAACGCGAATTTTTTCAAGGTCAACATATTGTCGCATTGTAGACCCATCAAAATGTGTAAAAATGGCGTTAAAATGCGCGACCACGCGACATATTAATAATGTCGCATTGTCGCCCTTTTCAAATGAAGTAGTAAGTGAATTATTCCACGCATGCGCCGAAATGGTTATACTCCAGTGGTCCTTTATTTTGTTAGTTCCAAAACACAAGTGGCAACGTGGGATTTTTTGCTCAAAATGAAAACGAATTGTTCATCGTTGTTTCATAAATTAGTTCATATATTGTTATTGTCTCCGTCGTTTTTCATAACCAAAACGTCTTTTTCAAGGCAAGAAACAAACAATTTGCATTTCTATTTAATTTAATTCCGGTTTCCGAAAACTTTTCAAATCGACGAGGACACACGGCTGGCCCTGTCGTTTAAGGCGGCGCAATCAAACCGACACGTTGTGAAATATCTGATGTTTTGTTCAAAGCTGCGTTAAGCCACATGTCACGTTAGCCTAGGGAAGTCCAAGGAGGGGTGATTATGTTTCTTGTTTTGGACTTCTGGCTTTCCTCCCACATGAAGCTGACGTGCCATGACCTTACTGAAATACTGTTCAGAGCGGCATTAAACAATACTCATTCACACACTCGCTCATGATATCCCTTTTGACGAAACGACGCAATTAAGATACGATGACATGCATTGTCGCCCTTTTCTTGTTTTTGTAAGGGCGACAATGCAGCAATGTCCCATCTAGAATTCCATATATAGTCACTCACTTTAAAGTAGTTTGCAAACAGGTTTTGTTACGGTTTCATTGATTGTTGTGAGCACGTAAGCAATAAAACACGTGTGTTTGCATGTCTTAGGCTGTTTTGTTTTTGAAATGAATTAAAATTGCAACATGAAAGGGTAATTGAGAGATTGTTGCTGAACGCCGAAGTCAACAATATTCAAGTTATATCACGGAGGTTTGTTTATAATTGAACCTGGGCCTGATAAACCAATGGTTCATGTTGTGAGCAACGCCCCACGACATGGGGGCACGATGACACACATTCAACCAAGTTACCAAGCCTGATACCTGTGAGGATCCGGGTAGAGAATAGGTCTTCAGCAACCCATGCTTGCCGTAAGAGGCGACAGACTCGCTGACTTCATTGATGCTTGTCATCGTATCCCATTTGTGTAGATCGATGCTCATGATGTCAATCACTGGATCATCTTGTCCAGACGCGTTTATTTACAGACCGGCGTCATATAGCTGGAATATCAGGATACGATGACATGCATCAACCAAGTCAGCGAGCCTGACCACCCGATCCCGTTAGTCGCCTTTTACGGCAAGCATGGGTTGCTGAAGACCTATTCTATCCTGGATCTTCACAGGTTGCTTTGTGTGAAGTGTGAAAAACGGACAAAAGACATTAGAGAGTGACTGTCCGTTTCTTTAAGCACCTTTTAGCAATATTCCAGCAATATCTCGGCGGGTGACACATTTGCTTCACACATTATAAACTTTGCTTGTTGTACCATAATCAAGCAAGGCAGTATAATGACTGGTTGGTTGGTTTGTTGTTTAACGCCGCACTCAGCAATATTCCAGCTATATGACGGCGGTCTGTAAATAATCGAGTCTGGACCAGACAATCCAGTGATTAATATCATGAGCATCGATCCACGCAATTGGGATCGATGACATGCATCAACCAAGTCAGCGAGCCTTGACCACCCGATCCCGTTAGTCGCTTTTTACGACAAGCATAGTCACCTTTTACGGCAAGCATGGGTTGCTGAAGACCTATTCTACCCCGGATCTTCACGGGTCCAGTATAATGAACTTGGTACATAGTTATATATGGTGGGTGAAGATTAACAGCAACCACAATTATCTTTCATAAGTGGAATTAACATAAGTAGGTTAACTGATAACAACAGAAGGTAAATATAGAAACAACATAACGGGCAGAGAACACTCGATGATCAAGCCAATTAAACAGGAATAAAAAAACCCTAATTAAACGGGTGGGATAGTTGGGAAAACTATTGCTTGATAAGTTCATAATAGCTTAGATCTCTGTTGATATAAGGTCTGTGGTGGCGAATCTGGACTGCTTCTGCTAGTTTTCTTTTAGTGAAGTCATGGAGGTTGTTGGAGAGGATTAGGATGTTTTCTCAAATGATGTTGTGATTGGGGCAGTTGCTGATATGGTCCGAGATGGGTGATTTACTGTCTGTCTGAAGTTTTCTGCTCTTGATTCTGATGTTGATGGTTCTATGTGTTTCGCCTACATAGGATTGTCCACAGTCACAGTCGATTTTATAAACTACACTCTCGGGTTCTTGGGGTTTGGTGGTGTTTCTGCTGATGGCTCTGAGTGGGCTTTTGAGTGTGGTGGAGCTGATGAAATGGTGGCAATGTTGGCTTGCTGTTAGAGGAGGCGGCTGATCGTGTGGAAATTTTTTCCTATGAAGGGGGTGGCGATGTTGAAGGGCGCTGGTTCAGGTTTTGGTAGTCGTGGATGTGCGATGGAGTGTGGAGGAGATGACTTGGTCGACGAGTTTGTCGGGTAATTGTTGAGATTAGTGAATACGTCATGACGGAGGTGCTGGATCTCAGGTTTGGGGTCAGCAGAAGAAAGGTTGATGGTTTGGTGAGTGTGGAGATGATGCCAGCCTTAGTTGTAAGGGGTGGTTGGATTTGTAGTGGACATACTAATCACTGTGGGAAGGATTTCTGTAGATGCTGGTTTGGAATCTGTTGGCCGGGGTTCGGGAAACAACCTGTGACGTAAAATCGAATATTTCCCAACAATGTATTCACGACGTCCACAAAACATAATCAATCTCCTGTACATAGGACGTTAAACGCACAGTAGTGATGAAAAGGATATGAATGGATCACTCAATATTGGTGAAGACACCGGGTGATCGCTGAAAGGGTACGCTGGTTTCTGTTCTTCCGGGAGCGCGCGCCACTGAGATATAAGCTTCAGGATTAATGTGATAATAAATGCATTTTGAAGTAGCAGGTAAACACAATATTGAGGGACTTTAATCTCGCTTGACTGCCATTTTACCCGAGTCTAGTCCCCGTCCATCGCTTCTGTGATAACTAGAAAATAATCGCAGCAACGAGAAAAAAAATATCGATATTTCGAGTATTTGAAATAAACCTGAAATAACGAGAACATAATCGAAATTACGAGAATTCAATCGAAATAACGAGGAAACAATTGAAGTTTCGAAAAAAGACCCAAAAGAGATTAAATTTGAACAAGAATGTCCGTGAGAATACGTTTGAGCACAATACACGTTGAGAGTTGGAACGAAAGTTCAATTATATTGTCACACGCACATATATCGGTTGGTACTTGCTAAAGAATCTAGACGTGGGTCGACTTGATCTTGAGTGTTCGTAGCATGGTTACATGAATATTGTATGGATGTCGTTGTTGCTGACGTTCGGGTAGGCTGGGCTGCTGTTCGTTGCTGACAATCGGGTTGGCTGGGCTGCTGTCTGTTACTGACAATCGGGATGACTGGGCTGCGGTCTGTTTTCTTCTTCGCTTTCCCGTCAAGATGGCGGCTGGCTTGACGCTGCTTTTGTCTCCCATCACCTCTGAACTACCATTTGCTTTGCTGCGAGTTAGGGTAGGGGGATCGTGCGTGAGTCACAGCAAACTCACGCTACCCGGATAATTCTCCATCATCTGTCCAAGGGCGTAAATTTACGTTTCGGCCCTCGGATGGTAGCTCAGGGTGATGACGGAAGACAAAACTCAGGGGTGAAGTTTAGACGACAGCAGCCATATTTATTGTTGATGGTTGAAATGAGTCGAAAAGGTACATGTTGATAATAACGTGACAGAACGCACACCGGGACCTAGTGGCCAATCTTCCCGGGTGGGAGAACCGTTCTGTCACTTACCTTCTGGCTGTCTCTCTCCCTGACTGACCATGTCAGTCGCGTTTTGTAGAGCGAGGAATTACGTAACGTGTGGCAAGGTCATTGTCCCACGTGTATGTATACACGTAAGATCCGGCGACGTTAGGAGGTGTTAATTGAAATGTATAGATAGCGCTGGAGATTAAGGGTCCTACCCGGAGGGGCCTTATGATAAGAGGGGATACGCCGAATGTTTGCTGAATATATGAAACAGACAAAGGGCATAGAATTTCGGTGCACTTGGAAACATATTGAACCAGTTAGGTATTTAGATAAATGAAATGTTAAGTAAAAGTATTGAAATGGTTTGCACAATTATAAATAAAAGTATTGAAATGGTTTGCACTATAACAATCAGTGAGCATGCATTACAAATAGAATCATTTTGTGTTCATGGTACACAGTTGCACCCTGATATTATACCCGTATTCTTGTTGCTACTTGCAGACGATATTGTCCTTTCTCTGATACTGAAACGTGTTGACGTCTTAAATTGTTTTGATAACTACCATTTGTCAGTTAATCTAGATGGGACTCAAATTGTCTTTAAAAAAGGTGGTAATTTATCAAGAGTCTAATCATAGTAAGAACGCACCCGTTCAGACAAAAACCGATTCTATATAGAATGATAAAATCGCTGTACATACATCATGATCTGTTTATTTAAATATTTGACTCCAAAATAAGCACAACATGGCTGAATGTTTGTTAAAGAAATGGTGTATTCAAAATTAATTTTGGATTAAAATCATATCTAAAAGAAATAACTACAGAATTTCGTGAGTGCACTTGCTCATTTGAGGGTGCGGGGTGAGCCTACTGGTCAACGCGTTCGCTCGTCACAATGAAGACCCGGGTTCGATTCCCTACATAGGTACAATGTGTGAAGCGCATGTCTGGTGTTCCCCGCCGTGCTATTGCCAAAGGCGGCGTAAAACCATACTCACTCACTCACTTAAGATGTTGTTCCCACCAGTTTCGACTTGAGACTGGGAGATACAGAAAAGAGCTAAAGTATCAAAGGTTGTGTTTGGTTTGTATACAGGGTCAAGTAGAAGATGAGTAACATTTTGTCATGATTATTATCATGCCTCCATGTCAGAATGATAAGATCTGAGTGGTTCATGTGGTCTTGATACAATACGATGTATACCGCCTTGGAGGGAATAACATTTCTCAGCGGGAGCATAAATCCCTTATACCCAACCACGAAGAAACCAGGCCGCATGCTTTTTCCGAGTCAGAGATAGTCACGTGCTATAGCACAAGGTAATCTCAGCTCAATCAAAGAGCTCTTTTTTTATTATCAATTTTTAAGAATTTGTTTAAATTATTTTACATTTAGATAAGATAAATTCGTTGAAGCACGATCGCGAGGGGTATATTATTCGTCATGATGTCTAGTTGCCAGGTTAGCCGATAATATTGGGTAGGCTCACCTAATATGACCATGTATAGGACATCTAAAGAAAACATTACGAATTTGAAATGCCGAAGAGTTTACACGATTTGGTATCTTTATCGCATATGTCATGTCAAAATGACAGTTTGACATTTACAACCGGTAAAACTGACAGGACAAGTACATATGTTTCCGATACAACGGTTTAATAACACAAACGTTAACAATGGAATATATAATGCACTAATTGTGAACGTTAAACAAGTATTTTTGCTAAAATGGATAGAATTATCACAAATATGCCCGCATGAGATCATAAATCTGGAGGCCACTGTAATTTGAAAGCAGTCCATTTTTCCCTAACGATGGGACCCGTGAATATTCCGGGGTAGAGTAGGTCTTCGGCAACCCATCCTTGCCGTAAAAGGTGACTATGCCTGTCGTAAAAGGCGACTAACGGGATCGGGTGGTCAGGCTCGCTGACTTGGTTGATGCATGTCATCGATCCCAATTGCGTGGATCAATGCTCATGATATCAATCACTTGATTGTCTGGTCCAGACTCGATTATTTACAGACCGCCGTCATATAGCTGGAATATTGCTGAGTGCGGCGTTAAACAACAAACCAACCAACCAGTCATTATACTGCCTTGCTTGATTATGGTACAACAAGCATCTATACCGAAAAGTCACTATCACGGTGCCTATCAAACAAAGTTTATAGTGTGTGAAGCGTAAAACAACAAACAAACCAACCAACCCTAACGATGGGCTGATATCTATTCTTTTGCTATGTGGTGTCATTTGCGTCACGTTTCGTGTTTTTGACGTCATCCTATATTATGTTCTATGACGTTGCTATCTGTAATTCAGTGACCCCCGTTGTGAGTCTTTTTTCTCTACGTGGTTTCTTTAAAAAATAATGTCTTTGCACGTCTCAATTTATGAAATTAAAAAACAAACCAGTGTCGAATAACGAATTACTGAATCAGAATTGTCATGCGAAAGATGTGAGGTGGGTGTTGGAAAATCCAAAATGGCTGTGACTGACGGTACACGGTCTCATATTAGGACAAAAACAACCATCTTGGATTTTTACTACGGTGTCCAGGCTCATTTGGGCTCAGTAGTGCTGCTGTCTGATTGGTCTATCCCACTTTGAGGCATAATAATGGGTTTTATGCGTCCTGCGTTAGGTTTCATACCACTCCGGCGATCCGTGAAGATCCTGGGCAGAATAGGCCTTCAGCAACCCAAGAGGCCGTAAGAGGCGACTATGCTTGAGTGAGTTTGATTTTACGCCGCTTTTAGCAATATTCCAGCAATATCACGGCGGGGGACACCAGAAATGGACTTCACACATTGTACCCGTGTCGGGAATCGAACCCGGGGCTTCGGTGGGACGAACGAACACTTTAACCACTAGGCTACCCGACCGCCCCATTAAAATTCTAGCTCTCTGCAATGTACTCAAGTATTATGCGGATTTATGTGTCACCATCAGGGGACAATGTTTGACTGTACTTCAACCCCATTAAATGCCAATATAAGTTATCAGTTACATCTAACTAGGTTATAACACATTCAGCCAAAAGCTACTTATCAGTCCTATTTCTTTAAAAAATCTATAATTAAATGAGAATTGACTTTTATTAAAAGATGCCTTAAATTCGAAACTTGACAAAAAAGTATCCCTTGTGAGAGAAAACTCTACACAGTCAAGTAAAACGTGCTTGACGGTGATTCTCTTATCACAAGGGATGCAAAATGGAGGATCATCGCATTTAAATAATTTTTACATTTAGTACTAGTGAGTGAGTGAGTGAGTTGGGTTTAACGCCGCTTTTAACAGTATTCCAGTTATATCGCGGCGTGTCAGCTTTATGTGGGAGGAAAGCCCGAAGTGATGCAGGTCTAAGACGTTTACCACTTCGGTGAAACCCACGAGCACGCCTCATCCGCGCACAGTCCCTCTTCAAGTACACACGCGTTTCAGTGTATCTAATCGCTTTCGCTTTGTACGTTTCCTTTGTACCCAGTCACGACCATTTCGCCGATTACGCTTTGAATAACATCTATTTCAAACACTCGCCGTATCGCATTTACACAATCGCCACCGTTTAACCGATTACGCTTTGAATACCACCTATTTCAGCACTCGCCGTATCGCATTTATTTCGTTCTACTCCCGAACTTCATCCTCGGGACATTTTTACACTTGTTTTACCAACTCACCACCTCGACCTTTTGTGATGCCTCCCAAGAGAAGATCAGCCGTCAACCACAAGCTGGTGAGGGGAGCCAAGCAGGCCAGGACAACCAGAAGACAAACCCGGGAGTACACATTGTACAGGAGGCAACAGCTGATGGTGAGTCTGCCAATTACGGAAATATCGAAGGCCCGGCCCGGTTAGCGCAAACCAACAGGTAAGGCTTGGTTTTAGTTCTCCCGCCATTTCGCCCAACATAGGGAGAATACCCGATGCTCACAACGAGGCCGACGGTGACGCGGTTTGGCCAGCCAATCAGAACGCAGGATACGGGGATTCCCTATCCTTCCGTGCGGATGGAATAGACGCACACGTCAAACAACAGGTGAGGGAAAAAATCTGGCGTGGCGAGTTTGTCGACCTCGGCACAATCCTACCAAACACCGAGGGAAGTCACGAGGACGGTACGATTACCATGGCGTACGACTCCTCAGGTAAGATAATTTTTAAACCAATAAAGCAGCAACCAAAGCGCCTGTCCCTGGCAAGCTGGACTTCAGCTTTCCACATTTTCATGTATATCTATGTTAGTAGGCACTGGTCGGCGACATCTGAGGTTGTTGGAACGGAGACGTCGGATCACAGTGTCCCGGCTAATGTGTCGATTATGTGCTCCTATGGTCTGTCGAGCACTTTCACTTGCAGTTAGGAACGGATGTCGCTGGTGTTGACGGGTAATCTGCCGATCTTGTCGAGGTGTGGTGACCCTAGGACGACCGCTCTGAGGAAGGTCATCTGTGGTCTGTGTAGCATTGTATCGATGCAGGAGACGGTAAATTGTGGTTATGTTAACGTTGAAATGACGGGCAACATCTTAGACAAACTCTCCAGCTTCCAAACGTCCGATAGCCTGGTTCCCCTGAATTTGAGTTAGGCATGACATTGTTGACCAAGGAGTGGTAGGTTCAAGAATCGGCCACAGTTTTATACCCACTACAGTTCGTGACAGTTCGTGCATTTTCGATTTCGCGAGAAATGGGTGCATGATACTCACATATTCATTGAAATGGTTTTTACTCGGGGCTTCCAAAATGCAACCAAAAATATTGATAACACCATCAGGCTTCACTACATGCTAAAACTCATATCAATTTATGGTTCCGTGTTTGTTACCTATTTGCTTAAAACCACTTGCGTTTCTTTTGCGTGTGAGCATATTGCGTGTGAAGAATACTTGATACAAATGGCAAATGCTAACTCTGTTGCACTTTTTCTAGAACGTCATTTCACTTAGGACTATTAAAGTATTTACTTGAAACCTTTACGAAACTCTTGGAAGATTGTTTCGAGACAGAGGAATTGTCTTACATGGAGAGGAAGACATACACACAGACACATATTGTAGTCGAAGAATGGCAACACCTAGCATAGCTTTGGTATCCGACCGTGCTGAAGTTTTGCTTCTTCTTTGTGGAATAGTTAGGTTTGTAAATAGTCAGAACTGCTTCGATGCTGCAATACAACATGACAAGTACATGGAACACCAGGCGTTCAGGAAGCTCGGGAGTCCGTCTCTGTATGACTGTGCGTCTGAATGCCTTGTGTCCTCTGCATGTCTCTCCTTTGGTTTTGAACACAAGACACGTACATGCCTTCTAAACAGAAACAGCAGTGCTCGTGTAAGCATTTCTCCAAGATCTGGGTTCGACTTCAGTGATATCCAACACTGGCCCAAGGTTTGTCATTCTTTAGTTTGGGCAAGATCTAGAATTACTTCTTCAATCTTCTCAAAACTGCTTTCACTGAATTGTAGCTATGGTCACTTGTTTAGGGTAATTGAACGTTGTTCTCAATGTGCAGTTCACCGGAATTACCACAAATTCTTTATTACAATTAGGAGCGACGTTTCAGTGTTGGTTCTTTCACCGTTATCAAGCACCGTTCACGTGCTTGATAAACCTTGTTAGAACCTACACCAAAACGTCACTGATAATTGTAATAAAGAAGTTTTTCTCTTATGTATCTTATTCTTATTTACCCCATGTAACCCAAGGGCTTGAGGCCACCGTCGCTCATTCACAACTAGAGGCAAGAGCGTATGTGATTTAAACACATGACGTGCTGTGTACTATCTGTTTCTATCACTATATATAGCCAAACATAGAAGATTGTTAAGAATATTTCAAAAAACGTCTTGAACATCCGATTGTTTTCTGGGTTGGATTCATTGGCCAAATGCCTAAATGGCTTCAGTCTATGTTTGAATAACTTTTCCACCCCCAACTTTGAGAAGTGCATTTGTATGTTATATTTCCAGACTCTCGCTGGTCCCTGTTTAGGAATGTCATGTCCCCTGACCACCAGCTGTCAAGTAGATCGACATGGCCGTGCAAGTTGTGTTTCAGGTATGTTGTAACTGATTATTTGCATGGGCAACGAGACATACACAGTTGCGTAACTTATTTGTCAGCCCATGTGTTTCAGGTATGTTGTCAGGTATTCACTTAAATAATCGAAATAACGAGAGAAAAGTCGAAATTCGTAAACCAATAAAGGAGAAATTTTGATATATTTATCTAAAAAATCGGATTAATGACAAAGACTAAAAATGAGGCTACCAAGGAAGCGTTATAAGTCTTTCGTTGGTGATTGGTGTTAGGGGAGGGTTTGGATTTGTTTGAGTCGTGGAACTTCATCGACGTAAACCGCAGATGAATGTGATTATCTACACAGAGTTTCGGGGCTGCGGGCATCCTCCTGATGTATCCGGGGCCAGCGTGACCCATGACGGACTCTACCAGGGTGCTGTGGCAAGGTATTCATGCAAGAAGGACTACATCGTCTGTCATCAGAGAAACACCAGTGTCTGTCAAGCCTCTGGACAGTGGGAGAATGTGGCAAGTCTCTGCGGAAAGTTCAGATGGAGGAATCCGGTACGTATAATGATGTTCCATACCACATTTTCCATCGCAATCGAAATAAGAGATCATGTTTAAGTTGACAAAATGATGTTCTGTTGAAAGGATATGATTTTCCACTTGAGCGTTCTTGTTATTTATTCTGTAACAACGATGCACGTAAAACATGTAATAGGTCCATTAACACTATACCCCGTTTGGATGCCGGGGTAGAACTGATTCCCAGAAACCTAACCTGGATCGCGATTTCAGGCTCTGTGACTTCGTACCCGAATGGAATGGATAGGTAGTCATGCTTTCACTCACTGGTTTTCCTGATCTCGGTTCTGTACAGGCGTCCGTTATTTAACCGGAATACAGCTGACTGCATGTTTCGACAAGATACTCTCTTTCATTCCCACTCATGATTCGCCCAAGTATTTCGTTAGGTGCATGTGGAACCTGGCGCATGTTATCTTTTAGATATTCCTCTAAATGTACGCTAAATCACGCGTGTCAACGAGCCGTACCGATACAATCAGACGTCATGTTTGTTTATGTTAGTAGCTATGCTGTTACATTAACGTAGCCAATCAGAATGCAAGACACCCTCAGTCTCGTGACCTGTCTTTGAGTGAAGAAGAAACCTGAGAACGTTCCCCGGTTCATTCTAAGAGAGGTCCACCTCTGTTGTCGTGTCCAGTGGTAGAGCGTCCGCCTGGAGACCGAAGGTCGTGGGTTGAATCCCCGGCCGCTCATATCATAAAACGTTTTACAGATGGTAATTGTTGTTACTCTGCCTGACGCTCGGCATTAATTGGCTAAAACAAGAACGGCCCGGTGTCGGTATACTGTGTCTGAGTGGGGTATTCATGTTATACTGCGGCATGGTATCTCAGTGTACTATAAAGTCGGCATTAGCCCGACTGGTACAAGCAGCCACATACACACACGTGCATGCACGTCGCTATATAAGTGCAATAATCTTGGACCCGACGTTAAAACCCATTTTACCTCAACATTCTCAGATAGTTTATATAGGCGCTGGAATCCTCTCTGTTCAACTGCTCTCTTTTCTCTGTGGAGAATAGTATTGTAGGCACTAGGATGGTGCCTCATCTGCAGACAATCCCTGGACCATATATTCCTTTGCCTAACGGGAAGCTGCCTTCACACCATAACAACACACAACATACACATAACAGCAGCAAAATATTCTTCCTTAGCAGCGTCCATTTGGCAAGATTCCTGCTAAAACTTTAATGGCCTGTCAATGATGAGTCTAAACAGCCCAACTTTGATCAAGTTTTTGATAATGTTATGGGGAGTTTATGCGAAATGATGGCATTATCAAATAACAATGGTGATGGTTTATACAGGATATATTATGTGTACGGGTTCGTAAAAGGACATATGATACGAGTATATAGAGATTAATACACGAGTATCCACCTGATACCATTTATCTTACAACGAGTTGCTTCAAAACGTATCTAATGAGCGAAAGCGTCAACCGACTTCCGTATGACATCACTACCGGTGACTGACTATTACAAAATGGCGTTTTCACTGCCAACAGGATGCCGAGGAGGATTTTCGTTTATTCGGGGATCGTATATACAAAAATGTGTCATGTAAACAATCAGAAACAATCTGAAAATCTGCGTGTTATTTGTTTTATGTTTTCCAGTGTAACCTAGAGAATTAGTCAGAAATGCAGACACATGGTAAAATCTGAATTTGTTTTTTTTAAAACAAGTACATTTCACAGCGTTCGTTTTCACATCTAATTTATTTCGCTTGATTTCATCTAGATTATTTGATCTCGTGACAAAGACCACTTGGCATTTGATTCTAAAATGTATGAGGAGTTCCGGGATGTGTGTATCGCAGCTGATTTTGAAATATACGTGATCTAATAGGCGTCTCATAACCGGCATACTGCAAACTTAATTTGGTAAACACTTTCAAATATGGCGGAAAGTACAAATAGGCGTTCGTGTGTGCATATTTTCCCTAACATTCTAAACGATTCCAGGCTTACAGGCGACGTTATAGATTTATCAATGGTGAATTGATGAAAAATAAATACCCGTGATCACTAATATGCTAGTTTTGAAATTCAATTCTTCGAGTAAATATCCGATATTTAGATTTCTTAACATACAGTAAATAACGCCGTGAATGGTGATTTAGTAATGTATCAAAAAGGGCGAGATGTCTTATGTACCTAATTTTCAGAGGTCGTTTACATTAATTTTGCTTTGCCTATAATGACAGTTAAGGATATCACAGAACAGGTAATTTCCCAAAGAATTAACAAACCTGTCACATGTTCAACGTTAAGGTATTAAAAAGGCATCTGATAACGCTTGTTTTTCTGTCTTTCTTCATACTTCAAGAATCTGAACCAAAATTACGGAGAACTGCTTTATTTTTTGTGTGCGTCAACTTGTGGTATCACTGAAACCTATTGAATACTGGTTTTTATCGAAGAGTAAATGCTGACGTTGAACATTAAGACTGTTAAAATATACCTTGTCCCCGGAATATATTGATATTTCAGAGCCACCTAAAATTCTTGTTTGCGTTGATTTTGTCACAACCACAGTGGAAAATTATCATTGGTTTTAGATTATGTGCCAGTTGGTTAAGCTTTGCGTGTGTCACTTGAGTGAATCATTTATTACGGATATTCGTAGTAACAATTCAAAGTCTGGAGATCAGTGGTATGCAGATGGAAGGATAGTGTGTTTTGTCATCTATAATTGCCACCACTATTTGCTTTTTGTAGCAGAGTTTGGACAACCTGTATGATCTGCCATGTGGACCACAAAGCAAGTTCAATGTCGTTGTCTTGGCTACTCCAACCAGAGCTTTCAGGTAACGTGGGGTTCTAATGATCTGCTTCCAGTGTGTGTGTATGTGTGTGTGTGTGTGTGTGTGTGTGTGTGTGTGTGTGTGTGTGGTTAACGATGCTTCAAACAGTATTTCAGTTGCTCCAAGGTTTGTTTCTTTGGTGAAATCCATTATCATGGAACAGTACTGGAAATATAAAATGTTACATCCCTCAACTTGGAACAATGAAGATTTAATCATTGGATTTTCTATTCAAGGAGATAGAAAAACGTATACTGTCAGATAGACATATCACATTTGCTGAACTTGAGGAAGACACATGTCTAAGTCATGGATCCATTGAAACTATTATTCATGAACATTTACAGATGAATAAGATATCTGCCAAAGTTTCTAAATTCTGATCTTAAGGAAAAAAGAAGTGACATTGCCAGAGACTATTTAGAGCTAATTCAAAAAAGATAAGTAAGGGGTGATGGAACATGGATCTACCACTATGATCCCGACTCAAAACGTCAGTCCATGGGATGGCACCATTCCACTTCTCCGGCACCAAAGAAATTCAAGTCTTCAAGGTAAGTGAAGAAACTTATGGTCACTGTATTCTGGGATGCGAAGGGTGTGATCCTTGTCGATTAAGTCAAAAGACGATTACCGGTGCCTACCATGCCGATTGTCTTCATTGCCTGTTAGCAGTGAGGAATGCTGACTGCTGGACTTCTACTACTTCATGACAATGCCTCTTCTCACTACTTTCGACTTGCATAGGTTGCTGTGCGACAATGTGGGTTCGAAGGGCTGCCTCACTCTCCAGACTCGCCAGATCAGGCCCAAGTGATTTCCACCTGTTTCCTAAACAGAAAGAACACCTTCGTGGAAAGCGGAATGACGAAAACAATGGATGGCTTCAACTGACTGCAACTGAAAAGCTTCACTATCGATATAAGAAGTGTATTGAAAAGCCGGGAGATTATGTTGAAAAATACAAATGTTGATTTTGTTTGTTAGACTTAGACCTTTTCGGCTGAAAAACCTTTCAATGCGACGTTAAATCTCATTCTCTCACTCACTCAGCATGGTTTTATCAATAGTAATCATGACATGTGAAACACAATAAAATGGATACTGTTCCTTCTCTTATAACAGACATCTGAATATGAACAAATTGCAAGAAATTCTGTGGCATTTAATTGGCTAACCATGTGGCATTTAATTGGCTAACCAAGCACGTTTTTTTATATTTTTTCCCCTAAACCACCTCGCCCTCTAATTGACAACTATTACCAGCTGGTTAGCTGATAAAATTATGGGCGGGCGGGAAGTGTCGCATTATTGCGATGAACGATGTCACTGATTTCGTATTGTTGTCTACAGTTCTTTTGAGTTAATGAATAAAACAAATAAAAAAGGAGTCTGTAAAGTTTTTGATAGTTGAGGTATATGTTGTTTTGCCCCACAGTGAGCACATAGCTTTTTACGTTTATTCGATTATCAACCGACGTAGGTTTAAAGGCTAAACAGCAATGAAAATGACATGAATGGATATCTAATAACCAGTGATAACACCAGGTGTTCGCGAAAAGTGAATCCATGTCCTGCCCTTCCGATAGCACCTGGTATTTACACAATTTGCCTAAAACAACTGCAGTGTCCCTCCAAAACTGTTTAACTACTCTTTTTCACATATATTTGTCGTTCACCTGCATGTTTTCAAGACACGAAACTACTCAAAGGAATATCAAACCATCAGTCACAAGACAAAAGATTTCCAGGACGTGTTTTCAACTTTCCATACACTTTAAAATTTGGCAAATCTAGTGAGCCAGGAGGACCTCTATCGTTATAGTTTGTCCCTTTGTTTTATTTCTACCTCAGTTTGGTTTTGTTACAGGTGTTCCGTGGCGCTGAAGGCAGGTGAGGACGTGACGTTGCTTTCAGAATTCAGATTTAACTTTGGATTAAAAAAGAACGTGACAGTTATCAACAGCAAGTTACACCATCGTTGGGGTATTGAGGAGCATAGACCGCTTCCTTTAACTGTAGGAAAGGAGTCTGAGATCCAAATATCTCTGTATCATGGAGAGTATAAGGTACGATCAGACTTGGAGTGTGCAATGGTAATGATGTTTTATTGTTGGGAACAATTCTGAACGACTTTCACTGGTGTTGTA